CATCTACACTTAACTGTGTGGAAGGAGTAATCTCCACCTGGGCCAATCTGTTGCACTTTTTCCATCTGACCACAGAAAATCTGCAGATAATTGTAAGGTGTATGGGCACCTTTAGCCTGTTGTGTTTGTGCAATCGGGTGTCGATACATGCACTGGCATACGGTTTCGGGTTTATGGTTTCTCGTTCGTGGGGGTCCCGTATGCTCATTTCTACTCTTGGATTCTGCAGCAGGTAACCCCTTCTCGCTGCAATATTCCCATTGTTGCTGGGCAGGCAGTTAAGAGTAGCTTGTTCTGCCTAGGCTTCTCTGGTGTAGGGGCTACATTCTCCAATGTTTCTAAGTGGGAAGTATTTTCTGCCGGTCCACTGGAAAAAGTTATGGTGATAGCCAGTGTCAATGGCTGGGGTGGAGTGACCAGGCAGTGGTTTAACCTAGGCCATTGGATCGGGGAGGAGTCGAGGTTCCCGATCTATGTCTTGGAACTTTGTGCGATCGGTCTTTGTCTTCTTTGCGGGCATCCTGTCAGGATGATAATAAATGGCTTCAGCCAAACACTACCCATGAGTGACAAAGGTTTTTGTGTTATCATTCATATTCTCTGAAAAATGGCCAGGAAATCATAAATTCTGTCAGGGTATGTAAACTTATGAGCACAACTGTATGTCTATCATCCAAGTGGTGCATGAGGTCACTTCCATGGCTTGCATTCTAGGGGGCTGGATCGGCGTTGGCCCTTGATCTATCAAGGTCTTGTTTTTAGCGTCCATGGACTCGCATTCCTTTGTTTGTACTTCCTTTCAAGGGGTGTTTTCCATTTTCCATTCTCCCCGGAGCGTAAATTGTCCTTGTTGACCTCATCTCAGGTGGTGGCCTTTGGTTTGCCATCACCGTGGCCTTTGGTTTGCCATCACCGTGGCCTGGGGGGGTTTCCCCATTGACTGGCTTGTCAGCATCCATTTTGGCTTTGCATAAGGGCGAGGTGGGATCCAACCGCGACCCTCCTTTTTGCCAAGTGGTGACCAGATGACGTGAGAAGCCAACTGAATTATGCCACATCAGAAGTCTATAAAGCCCAGTTTAATGTAAACTGATTGAGTGTTTTTACTTTCTCATAATTGCAATGTTGAATGATAAATTGCATCAGCTACTCACTTACTGGCTTTACATGCTTCCTGTAGTTAATATTAAAACTGTTAAAAGATATTATGTGCATTGACTGTAGTCATACCCAGGACATGGATTTATTGCAGCTTTAAAATACAAACCTCTGTATTAAGTAGAAAAGCATGATCATATTCAAACCTAAAGCAGCAAGACTGGATAAAAAAAAAATCTTAAAGGCCATAACCTCTTCCAATAAGTGTTTTTCTTTCTTTTTCATGTAATTAACACTTCCAAATGACAAGTTCCATTTATGATTTCTAAACCGTTTGTCTGAATCTGCAAGCCTAAAAGGAACGTAACAGCGTTTATTTTCAGCAGAAAGGGGATATTGTTCACTAACAAAAGCTAAAGAATTTAAGTCTATGTAGGGTCTTCTTTGGAAATGAAAGGTCACTAGCTCTGGTGAGCAGCTGCACAGTGCATTAATGAATCCTTTAGTATAAGGAAACAAAGATCAGCATTAGGCTACCATCCATTTGTACTTGTTTGCAAGTAACAGCATACCTATCCAACTCTGCCCATTGACTTCTGCTCTTACTATGCAAGGCTAGGCTAGTAATTAATCAGCCATTTTAAAAAGGGTTTGTTTCTAACAAAGTACACATCACATAATTTATCAGGCTCGTGTGAATAAGACAAAATCCCAGAAAACACCTGGTTTACATCAATAGTAGTGCACTCTGACCAAAATTACTCAATATTACTATTAACTGATATATATGTGTGTGCATCCATACATATATAGATATTCTGCTCCCCAACTGTGATTTGTTTTGGATGTGATATGCAGTTTAATTGCACTCTTTTTGACAAGACTTTGCCTTTTGCCCATCTGATACTCATGTGTGTTCAGGTTTATCAGGAGAGCTGGCTTCATTTCACAAACTTGTCAGTCACCAGCAGATTATGTCTAAACAGGTCAATTTGGCTGATAAACTCCCTGTAAATGTTTAGTTTTCAGCATTGTCTGTGCAAAGGATTGTTTCAATAACTCAGCAAATTGTTAGTTACGCAAAAGATTGCTACAGCTTCAAGCCCACAAATAACAAATAAAAATGCTTACATTTTGGAAACAGACTCTTTATGTCAACTATAAACATAAGATAACTAACACCCATTCCAGCCATTTTCATGATCTTGCAGTCTATGGGTAAGCTCAGACAGCAACATAATCAGCAAGCCAAGACATAATGAAAGAAATCTGTGGGATGTATTATCTGGGGAAAAAGGCTACTGTACCCCCAACATAGCACTGGTGCTGCAGGTGTTTGCTAAACATTGATGGATTCATGAACATAGCATGATATCTTTCCTTGGGTTTAAAAAGATACAAATTGCTAAATAACGATGCATGTTTGTTATTGAACATGTTCCAACTGCAATTTTTCCATTGGACATGATGAGGAGCAGCACACATGAGAAAATGTCAGGGGGCAATCTTGTACTTTAAATACACTACACTAAGGTTAAGAGCCATTCTTCAATGCAGGCTCTACTACACACCAGGATAAAGACAGTGGCCCACTCTGCCTTGTTACTGACATGGCAGTAGCATGAAACCTGAAAAGGGAACTAAATAGTTACGTAACTACCAAGCTGAACTGTATGTCCAAAGCCATTTCAGGTTACAAATACAATCAGCAACTAAGGCTGGCCATACACCTCACAATTATCCTTCGATTTCGTTTGTCCCGTCATTGAACCCCCCCTTCGATTTCCGCTCGAATACCCCATTATGCAAAGACCAATGTAAATTTCGATTTTCCTTTTGTTAGCAATACTAACTGACTGAATTTCATCGATCGACAAAACGGGTTTTTGTTTGAACATGTGCAGTGTTCATGTTGAAATTCTTTCCCGTATGAAAATGCCACTAATCCATCGATTTTCATATGATTAAAAAATGTTTTTTCCAGCCTGACCGATTGAGGAAATTCGGTCAGTTGAACAGTAATTGTGATCGTTCACTTCCCATCAACTGCCCGATTATCGTACGAAAACCCAATCTCGCAATGGACACCTTAATGATAAGCAGAAAAACTTAATTTTTTTACTCACCATAAAATCCTTTTCTTTAAGAGCGACTGTAAGAGTTAGAGTAGACAAATGGATATCTCAGATAGTTCAAAAAGCTGTTTTTGAAGAGCTGAGAGAACCAGGTTTAGGTTCCATGGTGCCACTGCGGGCTGTACAGGTGAAACAAGGCTTACAAGGCTTACAAAAGCCTTGTTGAGAGAATGCAGTGCAAGCGGTCTTTAGAACAAAACATTGTAAGGGCTGAAATGTGTCCTTTAACAGTACTTAAAAGTCAACTGTTAACCCAGGCCGGATTAGAAAAAGGCCAGAATCCCTTCCACAAAGTATTTTCTGGGATTACATTTTCTTGCTTTACACCAGGCAAGGAAAGCGGTCTACGTGCAATGGTAGATCTTATGTGACATAAACTTGCTAGCTTTCAGGAGTGTAGGAATGACCAAGTCATAAAAAACTCTATCTTATGACCTGAGCTTCAACAGCTATGCCATCATAATGAACAACCGGGAAGCAGGGTGGTAAACTTGCCCTTGGGATAGAAGATCCGGACAATCTGGAAGAGCCCACAGGGTATCTACCAGGGGTCTGGTGAAGTTGGAGTACCACATCCTTATATGCTAGTTCGGTGCAACGTAGATCACCAGAATGTCCTCCCTCTCCATGCTGTAGAGTAGGAGCTTCAAAAGAGGAAAAACAGTTCATATTGTGATTATGCCACCGAATCACTAGGGCATCCACTGCTTTCGATAATGGATTCCTGCATCTGGATACATACCCGTCCAGTTTGTTGTTGAACTTGGAAGCTAGGAGGTCCGAATCTGAAATCCCCCTGAGACATTGGTCCTGGTTGAAAAGACCATTTTCCTGAATCCAAGCACTGTGGGCTAAGGCACTCTGCTTGCCAATTATCCATGGCTAGATGTCCAGTACACCCCCCAGCCTGTCGGGCTCACATCCATTGTGAGGATCTTTCAGGATAGTGAAAGAAAAGGTTTGCCTGATTCTAGGGCTGGGTTGATGAGCCACCGGGCCAGAGACATCCTGGTCCTGGGTGTCAGGAGTACTGGTAGGTCCAGATACTGTACCTTCTTGTCCCATGAAGCCAGAAGCCAGAGTTGCAATAGTCTGGAGTGGAACTGGGTAGATGGATTGCCTTGAAGAAGGCTACTATCAGACCCAGGACTCTCATGCAAAAGGGGAGAGTTGGACAGCTCCTGAACTGTAGGTTCCAAATCTGTAAAAGGAAGAAGACTCTGAACTGAGCTGTATTCTCAAATAGACCCATGTGTTCAAAGCGATGAGTCAGTTCCAGTGATGACTTCTAAAGGTTCAGGTTGATAATGAACCTTCATGGAGTCTCTGTACATGCTGGTACAGGTGTAGCTTCCAATAACCTACATGTTGTGCAGAGTTTACCATGCACATATAGCTCAAGTTATCATTGAAACACATGCCTGAGGTTTATAATTCCATGAAAGTGGGTGCTTTTGTATACCAAAGTGCACTGCTTTTCTAACCTACTCTATGTGCAGGGCTAGCTCAACTCACTACAAGGATTAATATCAAGTATTCTGCCCAGGCTGTTTCATATCAGTGTCAGGCTGACTTTAATGACCATGTACACAACTACAAACATGGACTACAAACTGGGCCAGAATGGTCAGGAATTAACTGAAATAGGAAATCAGCATTACTTTCTTATAATGACAATTATGTTATTAGTTGCTTGATTCAGAGTACTAAACAGGGTAAAGGCAAATTTTAAAATAGAAAATGTACATGCTCAAAATGTACTCATACCTGGGGTATAATGGACATCTTTTTACGCAAATCATGCAAGCCAATTTCAGACGTTAAAATTTTATCAATCCAAATTTTTCCTTCAGGTTCAGCAAGACGGAAAAGAGCAGAGATAAGGGAACTCTTTCCAGCTCCTGTTCTTCCAACTATTCCAACCTGTAAATATATCAAACACATTGTTTTTTGCGATCTACATCGTAACCATCAAATTAATGAATATATCACTACCCTATTTCTAATTCCTTTTAGAAAAAATTAATATGGATACATTTAAATATTATCATTATTTTGACCTTCACAATTATGTGCCTGATAGTGAAGTTGCTCTTCTTTGATGTACAATATGCCTTTAACAATTAGCTACACATCACCAACAGTGAGGGTATTTATGATGGTATCTGTACAATACCTGACATCTGCATCAGATATTAGGAATATGATGTTAAACTTTACACAGTGCAGTCAGAACTCCACAATAAAACCCACACATTCGTAGATTTTATAGCATTCTAAAAAGTTCCTCCTGGCTCCCCGTTGCACATTTTAATGCATTCAACAAAAACTACCATTGCACATGTCTCCGTATGCAGATAATGTAAGCTAGTTAATAAAGGAAAGCCATGACTGTCTTGCAAAATACTCACTCCGAGGACAGATTATCTATGTATACTGTATGTTAACATTATGACAACACTCTGATCCTGTAAGGCACATTGGATTAATTTCATGTAAAAATACTAATGCATACATACTGTATTATCGTTATGGCTGACACGCAAAGAGAAGCCAGAACTATTTTCCCCCACACATCTAGCATCACTAGCATATCCCTATCCTTTTTTTCTAGCTAACAGCAAGTAGTGGATACCAACAGAAATGGAATATGGTTAAAGCATCTGGGCTTTGATACACTGCATTTACTGTTAGTTAAGCAAGGATAAAGAGAGGGGGAACAGTGAGGGTGTAAAATAGTTTTAAATCTTACCAAGAAAAGAGAAGACAAAGCTCTCATATAGCATCCAATCTCTACCTGTTAAACACTTTTCACCTTTCTGAAACTGGTCAGATATATGGCTAAACTTTAAACTTCTGGAATATTGACTACTGACTTCAGGAAAGGAGGAAGCACTCTATGTACCCATAAAGGTGATTCCCCTCTGAATTGGTTGATGATTGTGATGTCTGGTGGATGTCATGCGATATCTCAGCTGAGTGTTTTTGGTTCAAGTAATGTTTTCTTGTGTATTGGCTAATATTTGCTAGAGGGCCAAGATCAAGGATGTGTGCACTCTTGGGCCATCTTTAGTCCTAACAGTTCTGCTAGCTAATGAATATAAGAAATATATATGAAGGGTTCTTTTGGAATTTGGGCCTCATGCACAAACTGGACAGTATAATATATAGCACAATAACTTTTTGTAGGAAGCAGCAGACATTTCAAAGCATTACAAAAAATATGTAAGGCTTACTTATTAAGACTGTGTCCTCCAACATTTAAATGTTGACAAAATACCTTTTCCTTTGCTCGGATTAGGGCAGTTAAATGCCTCAGAACCAACGGTCCATCCAGGCTGTAGGCGAAGTTGACATTTTCAAATGCTATCATACCCTTGCTTGGCCAGTCAAATGGTGGACGTCTTTTAGACTCCCACTCCGCTTCCTTTTCCAGCTGTGTATATTCCATGACTCGTTCCACTGAGATCATCTACAATAAATGAATAATGTACATTATATCGGGTTACAGTTTTATTATTGTTATAAGGGCTGAGCCCATGTTAAGGTCACATGACCACTACTGCTGGTGCCAAGAGACAGGGTCAAGAAAGCAGAATAAGAAACTTAGCAAAGATAGAGTAACCAACTCTAAGGGCAGCACAGACAAGAACACAAACAACAATCAACAACAGGCTCAAAGGACCATATGGAAGCAAATGCTAGTGTCAGTAATCTGAATCCCCAAATTTTCAACCAGTGTATGGATTCTGGGGTCTTTTAAAATCAAATTGGACCATTGAGGAAGTGTGCATCTTGCCACCCTTATGCATGTGCACAGCTCAACAGAATGATAAAGAAAAAGACCCGGAGCTTAGTAAGGGCAAGCAAGGGCTGCCGAGTTATTATTTTGTACTTAACTTTATATATAATTTTGTTTCCATTTTTGTGACCTACCCTTGCTTTTTTTTTACTTGTGTCTTGAGTGAAGTCTTAGTAATTGAATCAAACCCTAATTAAGGGAGTTTACTTTTGTACAAACTACATAAAATGTTAATTTACGAAAACAAGGACTGCAGAAGCAACCAGAGATGCAGAACAATAATAATATTAATTATTATTATTATTAATAATAAGCAGCAAAAGCTGGAGAGCAGGACTCAAGGAAGACAAGAAGAACAACAGCAGGAAACAGAAGCATCAACAGAAGGCAACAAGGAGCAGAGCTCACCACAAGTCATATGCTCAACATTCAACCACAATACAGATAGGAAAGCAAGTCATGGTCAACCACTCAGCACCTGGCTGGGCAAACCTACCACCGGTAGGTTCCTGACAAATATTGGTTTCTTTTCTACTGTCATGTACATAATAGGCAAGAAGATTACATCCAATACATTCAATTTTTAGTGCCAGCAACAGTGCTACACAAAGTTCACTCTGAATTAAATAACATAGACAGATTTAAAAAGGAAGGAAAACAACAAAAGAGTGAAACATGGGAGGTTTAAAAAATGATAAGCAGTCATAAATTATTTAAATCTAACAGTCATGGTATGCTAGGGAAAAAAACATTTTGAAGATGGATTATTATCTAGCCGATCAATTTAATTGGAATTAGAGTTAGTGATGTCACTTGCTTTTATAAAACAGGTGAGTTCTCTAGAATACCAGTTCAACCTATAAAATGCAAGCCAAAATCTGTACCATGTACAGGTATGATCTAAAGTGGCCTGAAATTTTAAAACAATTTAGCGGATGAGAAAGATGAAAGCTTCTGAAATCAGGGAAAGTCCCAGAAAATTCAGGACTAACAATAGTCAAACTGTTGAACAATAGTAGTGTAGTTGATTGACAATATAACAGTGTACAGAGAGAAATAATTACAACTAGGGATGCACCGATACCGGTATTTTGGTACCGAGTACGAGTACCGATAAATTTTTTTCGGTACTCGCCGATACCAATTACCGAGTAACGGAAGTCCCATTCAAGAAGCCAGGTGGCGTGTAATGACTCACCACCTGGCTTCCTGATTAGCCGGGAAGCCGAGCAGCGTGTAAAGAGTCGCCACACAAGTGACGAGAGAGCATGGAGCCGCTTCCCAGTCAATCGCGAAACCGGGCAGCGTGTAATGGCGCGCTGCCCGGCTTCCTGATACCGGAAGTACTCGTGCTAGGCATCTGAGTATTTAGGCGAGTACGAGTACTTCCCCAAATACTCGGAATCGACACCGATATCGATACTAGTATCGGTATCGGTGCATCCCTAATTACAACAAAAAGTATCATGCGACAAAATGTTTGATCAATAGTTCAAATGTTTTCCCTAGTGTTCCCTAATTATTTAACATAAAACTCTTGCCCCATCAGTATACACAAGTTACGTTAATTGGAAGAAGGATTGTTTGAGGTATATTCCATGAGCCCTCATGTATGCGTACCTAAAATCTAAAAAAGGCCTAAATTACGAACAGGATTTAAAGTGAATAAAATATAGCTTCTTGCTATACTTTAGGAGAAGCATTGCAAAATCTCCATTAAAACTTTAGCATTTGATAAACGGGTGTAAACATCTAAAATAAAATATCTTACATATTCAAAAGGAATTAGAGCTCATTAATACCTTCAGAAAAGAAAACACATGAAACAAACCTTACCAGATTTTCAACTTCAGCACTTTGCCTTACACCCCACTGGAAAGATCCCATAATTGTAATGGCATAAGACAGTGCCAAACCAACCTGTCCTGCATTAAGAGCTGTAGGCATACAAGTTTAAGAGTTACATACAAGCATACAATTATAACTAATCAGAGTAAAAGAGTGGTACCAACCACTTTCCCAAAACCACCTATAAAAGCTATTTGGCTCAAACTTGCATTAGTAATGTTTTAACCATATTGGTTTGAAAAGAAATTAAAATAAAGAAAGTAAATATCATACATTAGAATGGTAAATGAGTACAATACTACAGTTTAAGTGAGGCTAAACACATTGGGAGGAACTTATCAAAACTGAAGCAGACAAAATCTGGAGCAGCTGTACATGGCAACCAATCAGCTTCTCTCTTTCATTTTCGAACCTTAACTGAACTTAAGAGAGAAGCTGATTGGTTGCCATAGGCAACTGCTCCAGATTCTTCTGCTCCAGTTTTGATAAATTCCCCCCATTGAGTGGTAATTTCTTGTTTTTGTTGTTCCGTCGTAGTACAAGCTTATGGTAGGCTATAGCAAAGTAGTAAATTTAGTCTAGGGAGAGTTTGTCAGATTGCATTTTGTAGAAATCTTATTATACTGTATATATAAGCAGACATACAGTTAGCCTGACAGAGCAGACCCTAAGTATAGTTTGAACAGCTGTTAGGAATGTCCAAAGAGTAGTTGTATGAATGGAACCTTGCTATGCTAATGTGTAGTGGAAATAGAACTTCATTATGCTAATATGCATGACTTTGTAAGGTATGGTCAGTTTTACATCTTATAGTTAGAGCATGGAATATAAGGTCGGGGGACAGTCCTTTTGGACACTACTCATTACACAGGGCACAACACTTTACACTTCATATATAGAGACACAGACACCTGCCAAGGAATATTTTAAGATAGAAGACTAAAGACATATTTCTTAAGCTTTCACTAGACGTACAGTACACGCTTGAAGTAATATACAATATTTTTCGGTTATTTGTATGCACATTTTGAACTGGTACCTCCGTACATTATTTTTCTGGATGAGGTGAGTGATTTCCACTCATCCTCATAGTTAGAGCCGACCTGTGAGAAAGCTGTCACGCTTTGGCTCTATTGATCGGGAAGTGAGCAAACACACACCGTCGCTCGCTCACTTTCCGATCATCTCTCTGCAGATCAGTCACCGCTCCCCGCAGGGATTCCCCCCCCCTCCTCTGTGATGAGTGGCGGAACGGACAGGGGATGGGGCGGGAACAGCTGGCTCTCCCTCTAGATAGGCAGAGCCAGCTGTCACTCATGCAGTTGGGTGGATCTCGGCAGTGTTGTCGGGATCCGTCCCAGCTGCGGCGCTCACGGTATATTGCGGGCAATAGCGAGCTGGCTCCTAGGATCGGGTGAGTATAACTTTTTTTAGTACCTAGACAAAAATGACCAATTAATCTTGCAGTGCCGGGGTCCACTGCAAGGGTTAAGAAGAATTCTGCCCGGAGTTCTGCTTTAAATGTGGACAAGCTGTCGCCTTTATAAGATGGGTATGATCTACTCAATCTCAAATGAGAGTTAACTTTGCTGAAGCTTGTATTAAAGGTAGGTTAATGCCATAATCCTTGCAACACACAACTTACTCTTTGATAGAATGAGTGAACCAAAGGCAATGGCTATAACAAACAAGGCGCATATGGCATCCAGACGTACTGCAAGCCAACGGGATGTCGTCAGGAATAAAAACCAGGCCTCTAAAGAGAAAGCAATGAGTGTGATATAATGTGCAAAACAATGGCCGAAAAACAATTTTTTAAATTATGGTCAAAATATGTTTGAAATTTCTGTTTTCCTTATTTATTTACACTTGTGGCAAAAGATGTTTTGTATTTTAACAAAGGACGTAATTAAATACACAGATATGGAACTGAAGTACACATAAAGCTATGGTGACAGACTACAGACAAACAGAGCATCTGAAATACCAACCTTCCTGTGATGAAATACTGACTCACACGTCTGAAGGCCTTAGGCAATTGGTCATATGATCTCTTTTGTGGTAGCTGAGACCTTCAGACATCTGACTAGCACTAAAACGAGTCTGAAATAGCATTTCCAGTCCTTTTTGCAAACTCTCAATAGGATATGATTTTTTTTTTTTCTGAGCAACAGTTTTCTTCTCTTTACTATTCCATAAAAAAACAGATTTGTGTGTGGAGTGTCTAGATTATACTGTAGCTGTCTTCCTTTCCAGTTGAAGATCTCTGTCACCAGTGACCTCTTTTACTTCCCTGACAAATGCCCTCCTCACCCAGTCACTGAATATTGAATGTTGTAGTTGTGCAATATACTTTTCAATTTTTAATAATTGATTTAATTGTGCTCTGGAGGATATTAAAAGTTTGAGATACATTTTGAAAAATCAATCTTGATTGGTGCTTCCCCAAAACTTTGTCCAGGGTTTGTTTTCAAAGCTCCATATGATGCAGTTTGTTTAGATTACTACCCCAACAAGCTCTTTTAGATTAGTGAATAAAGGTAAAGCGCTAAAAGCCTCTCCGTGATGAACTAAATTAAAAGTGCAATAGTGTGTCCAAGCAATTATAATCACAATTAGAATAAATTATATAAATATATATATAAATTAAATAAACACCACAAAAATGTAAATATTCAACACACATAAAAAATATACGTTCAAACCTCAATACGAGGAAAACAGGTGTACCTGTGAAAGTGTCTATGCAAACATAATCATATCATAGAAAGAATGATAAAAAGTTACTAGAAAATTAAGTAAAAACATTTGCAACAAAAAACAGTTCTATTGTGACAAAAAGGTTTCTTTTAGTCCATTGTGACTTACCAACAAGAAGTTCAAGTGAAAAAAACAAAAAACAAACACAAAATAATCTTTTCTCTCCAAAACAAGAGCAGTGAAGTAAATGTGTTTCCCCAAAAAACGGCACTTCTTTGATGTGTTCGAAAGAACAAAAGGAAAACCCCCTCTAGGGTATGCATTCACCAAAAATAGGATGTTAAAAAAAGCAGTCAGACTCGCCGGGATGAAACAGGAGTTCCACCTCCTCCCATCCTACGAACTTGCTAGAATCCCATGGTCATCTCCCAGTTAAGGCCATAGGGGAAGGGGAAGAGAGCAATGACACTCATAGTGTAATAAATGGGGATTTAGCGCTTACATATAAAAAAGGGACAGCCGGCCGGTCGGTCAAACATATCTCTCCAAACGTTTGATCGACCGGCCGGCTGTCCCTTTTTTATATGTAAGCGCTACTGTTTTTATCTTCAATAAATCCCCATTTATTACACTATGAGTGTCATTGCTCTCTTCCCCTATGGCCTTAACTGGGAGATACTAGACATACTAATATGACATGACATACAGTACCATTTAAATCAATTAAAGTTTCAGCAGTATCCATTTAATAAAAATGTATTTTTGGTAGCAAAATGTGGAATACATTAAAGTGGACCTTTACCCATATCTTTAAAATAACAACAAAACACACCTTTAGAAATGTTTAGTAATGACAATCTACAAACATATACTTCTAGATAATTTTTGGCTTTGTATTCTTTGCATGACTTATTTCTCTTTTCTTCCCCAGTCTTCTCACAGTGGCCATGTTAACGGCCGATTACTAGCTCTCCTATTACTTCCTGGAACTCTGGCACATGTGACTAGGACATGTGACCATGCACATCATCTCAGGGGTGGGAAATGCTTTTCCCTGAGATCTCCTGAGATTACAGATGAGATTTCTCAGCAGTGCTCTGCTGATGTAACCTTCCCAGGATGCAACGCTTTTGCACATACATCATTTGTGCCAGAACTGGACCAGGAAGTAGATAAATTCTATTTGTAAGTAAATGAAAAACAAGTTTGTTTAATAAATGTAAGATGGTTTTAAGTCAGCATGCAGAGCTGCATGCTGCTGTGATTTTAGTAAAAGGGGGTAAAGGTCCGCTTTAAGATAGGTGTTTAATTGAAGGTGACGTATTGAGAGAAGGGATGGGGCACTTTCCTAGTCATGTCAGCACAATGCTTTACACCACTAGGTCTGCCTTGGTACAGCCAAAGAGAAAGTGCCCCCCAAAACATCAATAAAAAACAGGTGTGCATATGTCATTTATGGGGCTGGATTAAAAATTGGTGCAAGGAAAACTGGAGCAAAGTAAAGCTTTTGTCTATAGCGATAGGACCCCTGATTGGTTGGTAGAGAAATTAGCTCAGCTTTTGCTTTACTCAAATACAAGTAGGTTATATTTAGGTTACATACTGTTTACACAGAGCAGAGGTGCAAAGACCTAGTATACTTCTAAAATACTGTAAAAAATAGTCTTTATACAAACCAGAATGAAGATCTTGCTGTGCATCAAAATAATTTTGAAATCGCTCCTCTGCTTTAAATGCCCTAATGGTCCAAAGTCCCTGGAGGGAAGATGACAGATGGGAAAACACTGGACTTCGAGCTAGAAGAGATTAATACCATCTGTTAATTTAATATACGTTCTATTTGATTTAATGTAAAAACATGACCCAAACAAAAAATAATGGAGACCAGAATGGATTCCACCACAATTTTCATCCAGTTCATCAACACAGCAGCTACTATATGTCACACCTTTAGAGTAGATAAGGAGGTTGCCATTGCTGAACTCCAGAACATACTAGCTGCCTTAACTCCAGAATACACTAGCTGGCAGACATACTCTGAAATAATCGACTGGAACAAACATGCAGATCAAGAAAATTCAAGTGAAAATCAGAACACCGAATCTGGGTCAATGTTTCGGAATACACCAAAAGAATCAGCATGACATCCAGGGAACTAGTATTTTGAGGAACGGTCAGACTCCATACTTTGGGTTTTCTGTAATTTTTGTATTTTTTTTGTGGAAAATTTTAATTACCAATAAAAAAAGGTCACAGTTCCTAAAAGGTGATCCCCTTACCATGTTGATTCCAACCAGCATGACCTTCAGTCTGGATAAATGCTTTAAAGCTTTAAATGCTCTTAGATTGTAAGCCCTCACGGGCAATGCCCTCCTTACCATCTTGTCTTGAATTGTATTGAGATTGTAATGTCTTCCTTATATTGTAAAGCGCTGCAAAAACTGTTGGCGCTATATAAATCCTGAATAATAATAATAATTAATTGCTGATTAAAAAAATTAAAGATTTGGGCCCGAAAGGGATATTTTCCATAATGTGCTAGTATGTTAGCATGTGCGTATGTTATTATGGCAGATTTATCTACAGAAGTGATCCCCTCCAACGCTGCCCTCAGTCACTGGCTCTTCAATCTTCTCCCAGATTCCAAATCCTCAGCAGCTTGATTGCAGGCAATGTGTCACCCACCCTGGTATTCTGTAACTGGTTAAGATCTCAACTGCGGATTTAAAGGTTCACGGTGTGGCACTCAGTCTTGAACCCCAGGCGTCACTCTCAGTCAGTGTCGGAGAGTTTGGGGTTCATGCATCATTAGCCGTTATACCACACTATAAACAAGGAAATGAGGAGGAGTTATTCAGGCATAACCCCACATGAAAATTATGGATGCTGAGTGCACCAATGAGACAGTCCATGCGCAATACTTGAGTATATACTCCACAACCTAGTCTTAATTCAGAAGGCGGTATCAACTAGGTATTAGGCAGTCCATGTATAGCAGATACAGTTAACACAATCGAATTGAAAAGATCCCTGAATGACCCATGCAATGAGCACAGTCTGAGGCTATGTGCAGAGTACTTGCGCTTTTAGATGAGATGATCTCCCGGATCAAAAGACTCTCTTAGAGGAGGTGAGCAGGGATCGTCCCTCAATGAGCCGTAGAGGTAGTCTGTGGGGTAGCAAGGTTCCTGGGGTTATTAGGGCGTGAGAACCCAATAGTGGAACACCATTCAACGTTCCCTGCAGGTTTAAATAGCCCGCGGCCGTGGTGCACTTCCGCGTTTCAGCGTGGAACGCATAATACCTCCCTTAATGGTGGAGGAGGCCTACGGCGATTTACCCAGCCCATGCGATCCAGCGTGGAACGCAACCGGCCAGCGCCACGGACCCGAGGATCGTTACACAATGGGAGTTACTTTATCACATAATAACGAAGGCCACATTCACACTTCCCGTACATGTGAACAAGGCACATTTCTTCCATGTTTGCCAAACATCAGCAGAGGGAACCCCGTTTATTTCAATGGGCTGCCCTACACGTGAGAAATGCAGCAACTGCACATTTCCAAGCATTTGTCATGTGCCAAGATGCAGTTTTGCCTGCCACGTTTGGGGCGCCATTAACAAACAATGGCACCACAAATGCAAAACGCGCTTTCTGCACATTGCATGAGCGGGAAAGGGCATGCGTTTGCAAGAAGTGTGAGTGGAGCAGAAGAGTCCCCACAGTTTTCACAGCAAATATCTGCCATGAGTAATCAGGGGCTCAGATGATTCTAGTTTACATATTTTTGATAGTGAGGGAATATCAGTAATTCTGTAAGTTCATTTACTTGTACAACAACCCATTCAATAAGGCATAAAGTATGGTCCTTATAGTACATTAGTAAAGAATAAGTAGTGAGAATCACAGTATATTATGTAAATTCACAGTGGGGGACATGTAATAATTTACTTGTACCGCAAGGAACAGCGAGACAGATTATGGGGCAAATCAATGTACTACAAGATTTCATCTTGATTTATAAATACCCCTCTCTGTAAATAGGAATCTCTTAATAAGGGGATCGTCTGACAATTTCCTATCCAAAAAAACAGAAAGGCAGCCACCACCAGTGTGAGGCAAGCCAGATTCACATCAACCCCCTCTTGCAAGAAATCTAAGATTACTGGAATCCTTTAAATAAATTAGACAATTTGTTCAAAACCATTTTCTTAATACAAGCCTGACACAAAGGTTTGGAAGAGGATGGAGGCAGTTTACAAAAACAAGGGGCATGCTTTTTTGATTTGCAAACTGATTATGCATCCTGGGTGTCCTTAGGCTTAGTTTTGTTTTGAAAAAGACAGAAAGGGCCAAAGAGAAGGGATCAGAAAACAACCTTCCCAGCCAGGACCCCTGCACTAACACCTCATGTGAACCACCTGCCACTAAGATTATACACCCTCTCCACAAAAAGTGTATAAATAGGAAGGAGACAATACACATAAATAGAATGGATCTCCAATCCTACCTTAGAGCCACTGGGGTTAATTCCACCAGATTCAGAGGAAGTGCAAAGCCTGCACCTTCCAGCGCAGACCTAGTGAAGTGCACTTGACTATGTCCCCCTCCTGCAGTGCCTCCCATCTGACATTTGTGCAATCCGCCAAGCACTCTGTAGAAACTGCCATGCCCACTTGCCTCCGCTGCCTACCTTTCCCAGGTGTCTGTTTCCCCCTTCTCTCCTGTGTGTCCACTACATGGAATGCTCGGGAGTGCTTCAAAGCGTATCCCCCCGTTTCCTGGATGTGCGTCAATTCATGACCGGAAACACATTACCTGCCACTTCTGCTGCCATGATGGAAGCCACGAGGAGAGACTCCCTCCACCATGAATACCCACATGCACAGGAATGGTAAGCCACTGACCAGGGGGGAGTGAGGGGGAAAATGGCAGGGCTTAGTGAGGCGTATAGTACTGCAGCACCGGTTACGTAAAATAGTGGCACCAGGGAAGGAGAGGACCAAAAGGGAATGGGGGTGGAGGACCCAGCACGGCTGCAAGGAGCAAGCCCCAACACTGCAGGGACCGGTTCCCTCTCCCCACTGGGGAAAGAAACCTCAGGGGGAAGAAATCAGCCCTGGGAGAGAGTGGGTCTCCTACCTATCTACCCGGCCTGGATATCACCTCTATATACAGTAGATTTCCTGAATCTAACAGGACAGGCAATACCTAGGAGGACCCTGCAACTAGCATGCAGACCTATGAAGAAAACAAAAGTAATGACTATGCGTGAGTGAGGAAACACAAAGAACTGAGGTGTCTTTGTACGACAGCCCCTTTTATTTTCATTGTGGATGATATGTTTCATATTTTAGGGGGGCGGAACACATTTCTGTCCTGTGCTGTCCTGGAAGATGATTGGGGAAAACCTACCTGACCACTACTTAACTGTGCTTATGTCTTCAGTGAACATAAGTATCTTCTACAGCTAAATCTGTTGCAAGTTTTTTTCAAAACTGTATCAGTTGGTTTCACCTGGTTAGAGGTACAGGGGTACAAAAAACTATTACATATACTTTGTTAAACGAAGGGCAGATGATTTGCAATAGATGTGTGCCTAATTTTGTCGCTAGTTTGCTTGATAAATTTATTTAATATTTTACCCATTACTAACTTTTTTGTGCACTATATACACTAAGATAGAGTATAAGTAGGTACTATATTTAGGCCCAATGGTGATCAGATGCCTCAAATAAACATCAGTACTATGTACAGTTACACTATAACTATTTTCACTTTCTAAACAAGCTTTAAGTTATATCTTTAGATTTGGCATCAATGCAATAATGTAGGATGGCAAATAAAGCAGTCATGTGACTGTTCCATTACAAAAGCAAAGTTTACAAGATGTTGTAGTAAGGCAACATGATAAAATTACGATAGGAATGTTATATTAAAGCACAATAACGGATTCAAATGTTAAAACCAATGTCCTAAAAACGCAGTGCTTTGAGTTAAATATTGGGACTTTGACATGTAATCATTTTTTTAAATAAGTATTTTACATATACAGTATATAGAGAACACATTTTATACGGGGCTAAACTGAAGAGAGCAAAAGGACTAACAAGGTTTCTGTATATTTGCTTCAACCATCATGACTGCAATGCTCGCTTATTAATGGAATATAAAGTGACAGCAACCGGTTGTGCATGTCAGCAGGTAAGACAGTTCTACAATGGAGGCATTATGAAGCGCTTTCAAACTACAGTAGCTCCTTTTCTCTCTTCCTTTCACATTTTTTTATTTCTCTTTTATTCAATGGTCACTTTATCCACAAAAATAAATGTCACCTAACATGAACCAGACAACAGAAGGCATGTCAATCATTCCACTTTTGATAAAAGACAAACATTAGTTATTGTCTGAGCAACTATGAAAAGCACTCTGATTAGAGTGTCTTCACACAACAGCTCACAAATAGAATTGAAAACCTTATACAAGAATATATATATATATATATTTTAATTATATATTGTATATACATACATACGTGATGTTTATAAATCAATTAGCCTTGTTTTAAGTGTTCCCATGTGTCATGATTGGTGAGAGACAATCAGTTTAATACAAGGACTTTAGATATATCTCAGTGATGTGAACAAACCTCAATGAAAATTCCTATTTGTGCAATGTCATTATCCACATTTATCAAACCTAACTTCAAACTGTGTGATTATAGTCATTCCATTAAACCACTACAAAGTGTTTCACATCTAGCGCTCTTTTTTTACAAGTGCCCATATATGCAGTCTTGTTGAACAACAAAGTTACCTTTTCAGTCTCAAAGTGTTGGATCCTGTTTGTATCCTGTTTGTATCGTTTGTCTCTAGTCTCTCTCGATGTGTATCCTTTGGCTCTCCCTTCATGTCTGACTCCCCTGTCCTTATATGCACATCCACCCCCCGGCTATTCCACGCCCATCGATGTGTGACGTTGCCGGGGGGCATGGCATCTAGGTGCGGCCGCAGCGAGCCAGATCCCTGTGTGACTTCCTGTGTTGGTCCATTGCTGAGCAAAATTAAAAGGTCAGGTGGAGCTCCGTGCCCCCAAGTATCGCCCCATGGAAACGGAGTACACACTGTCAGTACTGACAGATCAAGACCATGATGAGGGAGTCGGTGCGCCCGGACGCATCCACATGCCTATATTGTTTTGTACAAAATACTAGGAGTAGATCACAAGCACAAATGGGTGGATCCTTTGTCCCTGAATGAACTCCAAGAAGTGGATTTATGGTAAGTACAAAGATCCTATTTGTTTTCTCATTCAATAAAGGACACAGTATTCAGCTATTGAGAAACAATTGGGAAATTCAGAAATATTCCATACAACCCCACATAACAAAACAGTAAAACTGGGGGTAGTCTGCATCTTAAAGAGCTGCCAGAAGCTGTCATCTGATGAGGCCTGAACATTCACCTGGCAAATTTGGAAAACAGCCTCATACCAAAAAGCTCAGGAAGCACTCACAGATCTAGTAGAGTGTGCTTTGACCGAATAAGGTGGAACCATGTATCTCCTCTCCTGTCCCCAAATGCAGGAAGTGATGTATATTACATCACTTCCGCATTCCTCTGTCACGCTCCGGTACGGAAACCGGAGATAAACTGATGAAGCAGATCTCAGCTTCATCAGCTTCTCTGGGGGTCCCTAGGTGACATTAGGGGTCTTGGATGATGTCTCCATAAAGAGGACCTGTTATGTGAATTGGCTATCACATAGGGGGTTTCTTATCCCCCTATGTGATAGCAATAAAGTTAAGTGTAAAAAAAAAAAGTTTAAAAAAATTAAAGCATAAAAAATAAAGCTAAAAAAATAGTCACAAATAAAAGAAAATGTAAAACAATTTTTTTTTTAAAGTCCCAAGCCCCCCTACACGCAAACATGCGTCGGGTGCACCAACGTGCGACAATGATGATTCCGCCTATTGTGCCATTAATTACTGATAACACTTAACTGATGAGCAGTAAAAGCTTTTAAAGCTTTGCCTATGGCCAATTTGGGTGTGGTTGTTTTCTGCGATTTCGTGGGCGTGCGCAATTTTAAGGCTTGACATGTTTGGGGTCTATTTACCGGACGTGACCCCGTTTATATTTTACCAAAAAATGGGGTTGATAATAAATGCTCCATAACATTTCAAAGGGAAACAGGTTTTTTTTTTTACATTTAGGATACTTTTTTGTTATATAGTAAAAAATAAAAATCCAGTAGTGGTGATTAAATAACAACAAAAGAAAGCTCTATCTGTCCGCAAAAAATTGTATAAAATTTGTTTCAGTACAGTGTTGCATGACAGAATAAATGTCAGTCAAATTACTGCAGCGCTGAATACTGAAAAATGACCTGGACAGGAAGGGGGTTTAGCACCCCGGTCTGCAAGTGGTTAAAGAATATAATCATTTAAAAAAACATTTTTTAAATATAATAATATGAAAAGGAAGTGCATGACTCTATGGAAAGCTTGTATGATGTAAAATTTTAGGATGGAAGGGGGAAACATTATAATAAAAGCTTATAAGAGAGTTAATAGCTTTATATGCTCCTTTATTGTAGGATCTATATAATAAAAAGTTATTTGTTTCTATTTTGTATGCCCCACAATAATTTCCCAAATTCTTATAAAAGCAGTTTAAGTATTAAATATGTTTAGTGTACATAAACACAATATCATCTCCAAAAATAAATATTGTCTTTTAAATATACAAGCTCAAACTTTAGTAAATAACAAACACATCTGGCAAACAACAAAAAAATTTACAAACCTCAATATAGGGGATACATATGAAATGTTTTTACCACATCAGTTTACAGTAAAGGGTAGCTGCTGTTTTACAGAATGTCCCCCCGCACCCCTTCATCAGAAAACAAAATGGTAACATATCAGATGTACACTGTAATGTTGATAAATGTAAAGTTATGCACTTTGGGAGTAAAAACATGCTTGCCTCATACACTCTAGGGGGAGTATGTTTGGAGGAGTCAACAGTGGAGAAAGATCTGGGTGTTCTGGTAGACCATAGAGTGAATAGTAGCATGCAATGTCAAGCCGCAGTTTCTAAAGCAAGCAAAATCCTTTCTTGTATTAAAAGGGGTCTAGACTCCAGAGATAGAGACATCATCCTGCCCCTGTACAAAGCATTAGTAAGCCCTCATATGGAATATGCAGTTCAGTTTTGGGCACCAGTTCACAAAAAGGATGTTGTGGAACTGGAGAAAGTGCAGAGAAGGGCGACTAAACTCATAAGAGGCATGGAGGAGCTCAGCTATGAGGAAGGATTAACTGACCTGAATTTGTTGCCTCTGGAGAAGAGGTGATTAAGGGGGGACATGATCACCATGTATAAATACATAAATGGTCCACATAATGCGCTTGATGCCAAATTATTCACTTTAAGGTCACTGCAAAGGAAAAGGGGGCACTCTTTGCATCTGGAGGAAAAGAGCGGAAAGGCATACGGAAAGGATTCTTCACAGTTAGAGCTGTGTAAATGTGGACTAGACTCCCCCAGGAGCTAGTTCTAGTTAACAGTTTAAAAAAAAAATCTGGATGTATTCCTAAATGCACAGAATATTACTGGTTATTGAGTTCTTATAGGTATATTAAGAACCAGAGATTGTTGATCCAGGGAATAGCCAATTGCCTTATGGGATCAGGAAGGAATTTCTTTCCCTGTTGGAGCAAATTGAACAATGCTTTATAGTGGTTTTTCTGCCTTCTTCTGGCTAAACAGTGGGTTACTGTGGGCGTAGCATTCTGTTTTAGGTTTTTCTTCTTTCTTTCTTCTTTTATCTCTAAAGGCTGAACTTGAGGGACTTGTGTCTTTTTGAAACTTGCCTAACTAACTGTTACTAACTAACTATGTAACACTGGATCCGCATGGTTTTGAACTGTGTCATTGTGGGCAGCGGTTTCTTTCTTAGAGGAGCTGGTGACAGGTCAGGCTTTGGATCAAATATATAACTGAAAGACCCATACCCAGGCTAGTGTGTGCTTTAATATTATTATTTTTCATATTTTATCTTCCCCCATGTGATAGTATTTACAGGTGATTGCAGTGTCTCTTCATAAGGAAACAAACATACCAACGCTGCACTGTCAATTATATATATATACATATATATATATATCATATACATACACACACACACACACATTTAAAAATGCTTTCAGCATAGAGACTTACTTGTTGACTCGAGTCGTTTGATATCACGTGACGTTTCCAGGAAATACTTTCTCAAGAAGTAAAATATAAGCACAAGAGGAAACAAGGGAATTAATATCCAAGGAATGACCGCGACGGCAACAGCAATCACACCTAAAATCTGGAGAAACACCTAAAAGAAAGAAATATAAAATTATTTAGATACTTCTAAGCTTTAACAAAACGTCATTCTGCATTGAGAAAGCTGGTTGGATGGCCAGTGAAACGTCTTCAAGAAAAATACATTAAGTCCAGTTGCCTTGACTTATTTTTACAGATATACCATGACCCGGATGAATGAGAACCTTCACAAACTTAAAGAAATCTAATGTAGCCAACACATTAAAGAATTGTTTTGTTTTTTTGAGGTCCGTAATGTGTGCATCGAAGACTCGATCAACCCTGTGAACAAAAAAAGTGAATCGTGAAATCACGAAATCATGTGGTCTTTCTCTGGTGAGGACGGGCCTCGATTTCCTGACCCCCCGGAGCGCAAGGCTCCTGACAGGGGCAAAACCCAACTTAGGTCCACCTACCCGAAGGCCACCTCTCATCATGGTCCTCCCAAAGAGAGTCCCCCGAGTGGGAGGGAGTGGCAGGGGGGCCCGTACAGGCCACAAAACCTCATCCCCGACATCAGGAAGAGCCCCGAAGGTACCTGCACCCTCCGTCTTCTGTGAAGTCGAAAGTGCCAAACGTGCATAATGAAAAAGTGTCAGCGCACAACGCTGACCGGCCTTGTGGCCGAAGTGCAAAAATATTGCCCCGGGTTAGCCATAAGGCCTGCCCTAGAGGGGTAGAGCAGAAAAAGATAGAGTGCCGTGACCTAGTGTCAGTGGATCACTGTGGGGTCCCTTCACCCACGTGATTCTCTGGCACACCCTGGGACGTCAACCCCAAGGGGGCACAGCACCACGGGCCTCCTGCGCCTCCCGAACCCTCCGGCCAGACCAGAGGTGCAGCACCCATCCCCATCAGCAGGCATTAGTGTCGAAGAAGCTCCCACTCCACTAAAAGGAGCTGGCTCAACACCCACCTTTACTTCAGAGAGTACTTAGCAACCATCCTTCCCAGAGCGGTCCATGCTGTTCCCCTCTGAAAACTGATAAGAACAGATACTACTCTTGATCTTAGCCAAAAGGCAGAGAAGCGATTTAACGATGCTACAATTGTTAGCCTACAATAAATTCCATTTTTACTTTTGGGTTTAGATACTTTAACTACTTCACAAGGCAGTCCAAATTTGGTTTGATCTTTTTCATCTAGTGTGAATATGCCATGAATGTAATCTTATATTCTTAATATAACAGACAATGCACATGACCTATAAAGTAAAAAAAACAGCAGCATGGCTAAATCTCTATAGTATGATTAGATAGGTATGCTTATAGTAAATACCATAAGGATTGTTTTTTGTCATCCATTTACAATCAATGTACTGGTGTATGCATATATCCTTTAGTACATCAGAGCCTATGAGTTCTCACCGCTATGCTGATATTCAAATACAGCAACATGACTGCATTTCAGATGCCACAACAGGCTTGTGGTCTGGCCTACGATACTGCCTGGCCACATATTTCTTCCAACTCACTGCTCTAACAAACTGTAAATGAAATCACATTTCACTGGTGCTTAGACTTTTTTTCACAGGCTCAAATTTGACAATGATTGCCAGGATGAAACTGTGTTCCACTCAGCACACAGACTGTTCCCCTTTAAATGATCATTTTCATTTTTGACTGGAGCAAACAGTATATGATAACAGTTATGATACTAGTGTCTCTGCGTCGCTGGGAAAGAACAACGTTAGTCAAAGATCGTTTAAACAGCCATCCAATCTCAGTCAACTTTATACAGCAAGGTTCATATTATAGGTTAAAAATAATGTACAGTATGTTAACTGTTTCAGTATTACTAGTGCACATACCAACCAATCAAATTTAGATTTCATTTTCAAAACTTTCTGACTGTAGGTAAATTTCCTTTCCAATACCTTCTATACTTGATGCCCATTGTTTTTGTTGTAGTGGAAAATATAATTTGGCAATAAAAACACTTACATAAAAATAAATAGCGACCAGCATCAAAACACACAAATAATTGTCTAACCTTATTAGCAGAAGGAAATACACCTACTACAGTCAACCATGTGGATAAATATATTTATCTTACAAAGAAACTAAGATCTAAGTCTGATTTTATGTGACGCCTGCAAAAAAATGTATCATTTGAGCACCAGGACAAATATTGCTGACAGCTAACTGGCAAGACACGGAGCAAGTTAAAACAATTCTTACAGTGAAAAGAATGTCCTTACTACTGTAACTATAAATTAGTATTTACATCTCCTTTTCATTCTCCCAATCTCACATATACCATCAATCTTTCAATCTGACAGTTTGTAAAGAGATTTAATTAAACAAAAGCCAAACCACCACCCAAATAACCTAGATTCTGCAAGGCTATGACAAAGGCAGCAAAGATGATAGTATTAAAATGATAGGCTTATTTAGTCCCCGAGTGCTTCGATTAGCCTCTTGTTAACGTTTAATGGCACTATTGTCGCACTCATGCTGAGAATGACAAATTAGGCCTTTGACTGCAAACAGAGCAGGCTAGGAGGATTTCAAACTGATTAACTGTCATGGCTCTTCTTGCCTTTGTGATTCTGTTTTTGGGAAACTTTCCGAGCTAAAAGCACCAGAATCAGAGGCAACTACTGATTTCAACATTTTTTAAGAAAAATAAAATAAATGAGAAAAAAAAAAAAACCCAAAAGGCTTTTGTATCCATATAAAGGTGATATGTAAAGAAAATCATTGGTGACTTACTTTTCATCTACTCTTATTCTGCACACTGTGATTTTCTATCCTATGCAAACATTTGAACATCACTACAGGATGCCTATGGGGTAGTCACTCATTAGTGAGTACAAAGAAAAGATAAAAATGGGTAGCACTGATGCAGGGATCCTCCAACCTGTCAACAAGTTCTGTTGTTGAAATGTAAAAATAACTTGTAAAAAAACAATAACTGAACAATAATAATCATTTCATTGCTCTAATTGGGGAGCCACTACAATTATTACTTAAAAACAATTCAAACTTGTTGATCATGAAAATATCCAACACAACAGAAAATATAAGGTTTTTGTTTCAGGGTGAAAAAAATATGTAGATCCTATCAATTAAACTACGCATTGATTGTGGGTACAGTCAAATGGAAATGCTCTCTAGTCAGCAGGGAGCATGAGCTTTGCGGTTTGCAGAGCTATAGAGTATGACTCAGCAGGAGGCATGTCGGATCTCTGCGGAGAGACTACTGCATTCACACAGTAAGCAAGGGATCTTCTCTGCAGCATACAGCCAGTTGACACGCTTTTCTATTCAAGCTGCAAGCACTATTTTGATCGCACCGGAGCGCACTGCAGGCACAAGTATTTTATAAAAAAATAACCACTGCCATTGTTAATATTACCAACTAAATGTCATTCAACTGGGGTGTACTTGTACTTAAAGGAGAACTATGAGGTGAGTGCTTTTCACTCACCTCATAGTTCTAGCCGACCTGTGACAATGAGACTGTCACAGGTCGGCTCAGTAGATCGTGAGGTTACATAGTACATAGTAT